AGAGTCTCCCGGGCGGGGTCCGGTACCCCTCCTGCCGCAGATGGAATGAGGCACCTTAATGGAGCGCTGAGGTGGTGGACTGGAGCATTTCGCATTTTTTCCAAGTTTCCCTCACTTTAAGAAGAGAAGAGATTGGATTTATACCTCGCCCTTCACTACCCAAAGGTGTCTCAGAGCGGCTTACAAACTCCTTTCCCTTTCCCCTCCCCACAACAGACACCCTGTGAGGTGGGTGGGGCTGAGAGAGCTCAGAGCTCTGAGAGAAACTGCTCTTTTTCAAGAACAGCTCTTATCAGAGCCACGGCCCCTTGGAAGCGTAAAACTAGCATAACATTTGCAGAGCTGAGCTACAGCCTTTCTTCTTGAAGTGCAAAATTTTCACTAAGCATTCCAACATATAATAACGCTACAGAGAGAGAGAGAGAAACGAGAGCCTGATGGTACAACCCCGACTACTACCGCCTGAGAATTCTACCACATTTTGCCAGAGATGGAAAGCACTCCTTAGTATGGCTTAAGCATGAGGAGGAGGTGCCAAGCCTGCAATAGGTTATGATGACTCTCCACTGTTATGTAATGTTGATGAAGCAAAAGTGCATACCCGGGAGTTTTCTACAGCTGAGGAATCACTAGTCTGTGGTAATTTAATTTTTGTGGTTTTTTTAGTTTGGTGAATTGTCCTGAGTACACACATCTGCTTAAGAGAATAAGGAGTGCCTTAATAGGCCACAGCCAAAGTCCACCTAGTCAACATTTTTTAGGGAATTCCACCCATAAGAAGTAGGGGAAGGAGTGCTCAGTCAGACCTCATTCTCACTCATTTCAGAATATGCAGAATATTTCTTTCTGCCTGTGGATCATATTTTAGAATGCTTTCCCATGTTTAAAAATTACTTGTAAATAGAAAATCAGCCTACAGAAGAAGGAGAGATGGTAGAACCTTTCTCCCCACTATGCTATCTAAGCTTAACATAGCTTTTAAATGGCAATGAATATTCAGTGCCAGAATCCAGCACCTGTAGTCTGAAATAGCAGCAATACTTCCCCCATCACAGTCCTACAACCTCACTGGCATATGTGAACCAAGCCACTCCCAGTTTGGTGAAGTGGTTAGGAGGGTGGATTCTAATCTGGGAGAATTGGGTTTGATTCCCTACTCCTCCACATAGAATCATAGAACCACAGAGTTGGAAGAGGCCATGCGGGGTAACGTGTAACTGCTGGTGTGACCTTGGGTCAGTTACAAGTTATTTCAGAGCTGTTCTCTCATAAGGAGTTCTCGAAAGAGCTCTCGCAGCCCCACCTACCTCACAGGGTGTCTGTTGTGAGGAGGAGAAGGGAAAGGAGATTGTAAACTGCTCTGAGACTCCTTCAGGTAGTGACGGGTGGGTATAAATCCAATCCTCCTTCAACAGAATACCCACGGATAAGCTTTTTTTTTTTAAGGTATCAGGAATTGCCGAAGGAGCTATCAATGGCTCACTATTTTTATTTATTTTCTTAAGAAAAATTTATGTTGCCTGCCTCTCCAGAGACCCGCTCAAGGCTGCTTGCAAGGTGTGTCAACAGAATGCAGGAGTTGGGAGGCAGATCTAAACTAGCAGTCTTCTCAGTAAGGGAGGAGACAGTCCTGTTATAGGACTTGGCTTTTGCCATAGTAACTTTTAAATTTCATACCAAACAAACAAACACCTTAATGAATCTCAGGTGTTTAGTGTAAAAACAAATCTCATTTTTCTTAATTCAAAATGAACATTTAGCCATTCTGAAACTTCAAATAACTCAATCTACATGTGAAATGTGAAACAAATCCAGACTTTAGTATAGTTGCAGGGAATTATTCTGTCTCACATTTGCAATTATGGAGCAGTTTATTTATTTATGCAATAATGGAATTAAAGATTTGTATACCTTTAGTTGTTTCACTTTTGTATTCCAGAATCAACCTGTTCTACACGATTGCAGAGATGGGAAAATAATTTTATTATTAAAGGCTGTGGATCCTTTCACAGGTCATAAAATGAAAGGCACTTCCTGATTTTGTGACTTATTAATGCGGTAGGCTACGAATGTCTGGATCCTTAATGTAGCTCCAGAATGGCAAAATAGGCTCCCCACCCACTTCTCGTCAGCAAAACACTCTGAAGTACAAATAAATGCAAAGTATGGTCTTTTGCTGGTTACATTTATTGTCACATTAACCTGCCCAGGCAAGAGCTTAGTCTGGCACTTACATTAATTAGTCCGCTCCTTTAGGTTGTTTGTGCGTACAGAGGTGGTTTAATATTAAAATAAACTCTCAATTACAGTTGAAGTCTGCTTTGCAAGGTGCTAAGCTTTCACTTGAAAGTTGCAAACCGCATAGGATAATGATTCTGTGTCACTGCTACAGCAGAAAAGAGAAGTAACACTAACTCAGACCAATAGTTCACAATACTGTTTTTGCTGTTACTGAACATATGAAGAGCCATGCTAGATAATTCCATCTAGCCCAACATCCTGTTTTCTCCAGTAGCCAACCAGGTGCTTCTGGGAAGATCAGCAAGTGATGAAGGCCGACAGTCCTTCTTCAAGAAAGCTGACAATCCTTCTTTGACAATCCTTTACTTCCCAACAGCAATTGGTGTTCAGATGGACACTGCTTGTGAATCTGGATGGTCCGTTTAGCTTTTCTAGCCTTTATCACAGAATCACAAAATCATAGAGCTGGAAGGGGCCATACAGACTCTCTAGTCCAACCCCCTGCCCAATGCAGGACCAGCCTAAAGCATGTAATACAAATGATAATAGTTTATATGTGGTTTTTTCATACTTTATTTTCATTTTCCACCAAATACCAAAAATCATCAATACATACGCCTTCCTAACTATCTCGGAGTCTATTATTAGCTCTGCGAGTTAATCCATTCATATAAACGCATCCATCTTTCCACGAATACTTTTTCATCCTTTCCTTGAAGGATAAGACTTAGCTTATCCATCTCTGCTAGCTCAAATAGTTTCCATACAACCTCTTCTTGTTTTGGAACATACTCTTGCTTCCAGCCTCTTCTTGAAAGCTGTCAGTGAAAGGGAGCTAACCACTCCTCTAGGCAGCTGATTCCAACTTTGAACCACTCTGACCAGGAAAAAGTTTTTCCTAATATCCAGCTGACACCTTTCTGCATGTAATTTAAAACCGTTGCTTTGGGTCCTATCCTCTGCTGCCAACTGGAACAGCTCCTTGCCCTTGTCCAAATTACAGCCTTTCAAATATTTAAAAAAACTATCCTCCATTAATTTGTTTAATCCCCTAGGCAGTAACCATCAGTGCATTGTTCGGTAGTGAGTCTCACAAAATAATTATTTTATTTGGTTCATTCATTACACACTTTTCTCCCCAATGAGACACAAATTTCTCCTTGTTCTCCTCTTCTCCATTTTATCCTTGCAACATCCCTATGAGGTAAGTTGGTCTAAGAGCGTGAGACAAGCCCAAGGTCACCTAGCAAACTTTCATGGCAGGGTCCATCCTGAATCAACTTATTTAGAACATTTTTATGCTGCCTCTCCAGCAAACTCATCAAGGCAACTACTAACTTAATTGGGTGCCCACAACTGCTACTATTTTGAGACAGAAAGAAAAAGAATGTTTTATTTATCCCATGCCATGCATTATTTTCTAAACCTCCATAATGTTCATCCTTAGTCAATTTTCCCCCTAAACTGAAAAGCCTAAACCTCTTTAGGTTTTCCTTGTAGGGAGGGTGCTCCAGTCCTCGGTAATCTTAGTTGTCCCTTTCTATACCTTTTCTAGCTCTGCACCAGTTTTGACTGGTGGAACCATTGATTTGTGTGGAGAAAGTAGCACACATGGATCCTACCCTCATTCAGTGTGACACTTGGTAGTGTAGTATTAGAATCACACACAGAAAGGGACCTAGGAACTGGTTTTCATGCTCTTACTCTCAGAGCATCTTGTAGCCTCCCATTTATTTTGGTGATTTTGTTAGTGCAACATGCTTTATAACTCCCTTCTTCTTTAACCAGATAAAAGCTGAGTACTGGGTTCCTGCAGATGATGGTGGCAGCAGAAACATGATCTGAATAATTAGAGGAGCTCAGCAGTCCTGCTTCTAAATGACATCATCATCGATGACAATCCATTCTTAGTGCTTAGCTGATACAGTGGTTTTGTATTTTAACAGTCAGGGCTGTTAGACAAATATTTGGTACTCACTTTTGGTGGTATAAAACACCAAAAGTTACCCTCAATGGTAAAATTCAGGTGGGAGGCCGTGTTGGTCTGAAGGTGCCACTGGACTCAAACTTTGGTAAAATGAAGGTGTGGGTTGTCCAGCTGACATTGTGTGATACGTAATAAATCCAAACTCTCTTCCAAGAGAATACATAGACTTTTGAATCCCACACATAGGCCAAGGAGCCACATATCTGAAGGACCGTCTCTCTACAGATATCCTCAGTCCTTTGGCTGTCACCTTCTGGTTGCCCTCTGCCTAAGGCTGCCTCTGCCTGTGAACATGCTTTTTCAAGGGTGGCTCCCAGCTTGTGGAGTGTAGCCCCTGAGGAGCACCAGAATTTAGTAGGAAGTACTGTAAAGCAATTTTTTTGCTAGGGCTTTCAGTGAGGTTTGAGGTACAGACACTTGGGGGGGGCGTAATGGGATTTTATTGTACTATGTATGGTTTTAGGTTAGAATTGCAAGCCACCTTGAGCTACAAGGGAAAGGCAGGTATAAATAGTTAAATAAATAAATAAATTTTACATACCTGGATCTGCTTCCAATG